ATTCACTCAACGGCTAATAAGCTACTTTTACTCTGAGTTTACATTAACTCAACCAGTACATTATACCTACGGATTATGTTCCTTCAAAGTTTGAATGATCGACCCAACAAGCGAACCCAGGGGCTACAAATCTGATCGATCAGAGAGACTACAAGGTCAACATTCAATTAAAAGTCTTCACAAAATAAAAACAAGTCGACCTTGTTATACATATATATACAAAAATTGCCTACGTGATTAAATTGCAAACATGAAGAATTAGAAATTAAGCTTCCTGGTCGAGCTCTTCCACGACCTCGGAACCCCAGTTGTAGTCTTTTCGGACGACCTCGAGGTGATCCTCTATTATAGAGCACGTATACATCAATACGTGTTCATATCGACCCGAAATGGAGGAAGGATTCTCCACCTTAAAATCGGTCTTCAAAGTGCACGGGCCAGGAACTGAGCTCGAGCCAGTGCCAAGTTCGCAGACAAGAGCCGTTATAACCGCACCGAGGGAGAGAATCTTGGCGAGAATCAAGGAAGAGACAAACCATCATGGGTCCTCCACTATATGTATTATTTTATTATGTTATTATAGATAAAGCAGTGATCCTCTACTATAAAAAGGGGGATAGATTGCAATAGAGGCAGGTCCTCCAAGATACATTAAGATTTCATTGTACTTGTTTTTCTAATTCATTTCAGTCTTTCCACCCATCATTCCCGTTTTATAGCAAAATTACCTGTATTTTTATTTTGTATTAAAGGAATTCGCATACCCTTAGAACCATATCTAAATTTAACGTTATCCGATTTTTCGGGTAAACATGCATCATTTAGAGATATTATTTTGTTTTTCTGCCTAAGTGATATGAGAATCATAGAAGGTAACAACATGAGATTAGTACGTACTCTTCGTTTAGTCTCTCTATTTGTTAGTCTCTCTATTTGTTTAAAACTCAACGAAGGTAAAAGAGGCAAACTTGTTCAACTATTTTCAAAGAAGTATGTTTTGCTTGGGTAAAATTGAGTTGTTACAAGATGATATTAGTATGGTAAAATCGTATACAATCTTAATTGGTTTGTATCTTACTAAAGTAGGATGTATGCTCGATTCTAGTTAAAAAAATTTCTTCTTATCTTAAAGAAGAAAGACCTACAAAAGGAAAGAGGGTAAAAGAGCCGGGTGTTTTTATACTTTCTGTATTTTAAAGATTATGAGTTAAACTTGTTGTCATCTACTCCATACAATAACATTGTCACTGCTATGTCTTGATGTGAATCGACAACCTCTCAATCCCTTGTCTTCTCTATCTGTTTGAAGTTTAGTTTTGTTAATTTGTAGCAGAGTTAGTAGTTTTAGTTAGGACTCAAAATCTGTTGGGTGGAGGTTGTATGTCGTTTTGCTGTTAATGCTGCTAAAGGATGAATGTTGGTTAAAGCAGTCACTCATTTATAATAATTCCTTATAGGCAATATTACTCTTGCATATATTTAACTTCAAGGAAGACCAATTTTCCTTCAACTAACTCTGTGTTTGAAAAAGAGTAGTATCTTCAACTAATTTTGTGTTTGAAATAAAGTAGTATAAGGAAGTCCGATTTTTCTAAAATGACTAATTTTCTTCTTCCTCGACATTTTTGGTTGAAGATACTGACATGGTATTGGATTATTTTTTTAAAATTTTCTTTGTAAGCATATGATACTAAATTTTTGAATGTTGGGTTTAGAAAATTTCTAGATATTGTGTTCTATTTTCTTTCTTACATTTTCTTCTTTTAGCAAATGTGTGGATAAAATTAGAATTCTTTAAGGCAATAAATCCGGCTAAGGCAAAATTACACATCCGGCATAGGCTTCTGTTCGCTGCTCCTTCCTTTTCTTTCTCTGGTAATATTTTCACCATAGATTTATCATTCTTCTTTAGTAATTTTGTACTTCAATTTTACTGATATTGTATTGATAAATTTGTTATTTTGATTTTTAGTTTTGAAAAATGAGAGTTGAGTTGATCAATTTTCTAGTTTCAGAAAAAGAAAGTTGAGTTGGTGGATTTTGATTTCTTATTAGAAGCAATGAGACCTGGTGGAGAGAAAATTGGGGTTGCTATATTTTTGTTAAATTTATATTTTAAATTTTGTTTACTCCAATTTAAAGATATCGTAATTGCATTTTGGCTTTTGATTATTTATTCAATATTCATTGGAGAACATAGTCATAATGTTGACCTAATATTCCTGCATTATAACTGTTTTTCAGTTTCAAGTAGAATAGGATTTATTTGGTCTTACAAATTTTTATTCTATTGTGTATATTGTCTTATAAAGTTTTATTGTGTTGTGAATCATTTTAATATAATTTTGGATGGCTAAGTCTGGTTAGTCTAGTCATTTTTTAATTTCGCTTCCGGCCCTTTGTCGTTGCGTAATTCTGTGGTTACCTTGACGGCTCTTTGTTGTTGTATACTTGCAAAGAAAGATGCCATCTTTCTCATCCTATTTTAGCTCCCAATCACTACTTAGCCAAAAGAAACAGAGGATGTTAGCTTGAAGAAGTATCACAATGATCAGTCCTAGTGTTTTGAAACTTTTTAAAGAATATGATCTTTCAAAGTAAAACAAAATCTAATGCAAATGTCATGATGCCTTAACTCTTGTTTCCTTCGAATTGTAGAACGTGCGGGTTCATAATGCAGTTTCTTCCCAATCTATTAGGGAGAATTCTACTTCTAGCACTAAAGAATTAAAGTATGAGATTAATATTAGGAACTCAAAAGTAAATGTCTATGAGAACAATTTAAAGATGTTGATTGTAGTTGGTAACACTGGAAAGTAGACCATTATTGTTCCTGATCTATCCAATTATTTGCCAACTGAGTAAGTTGAGTGTTTTGATACCTGATAGTTTCTATGGTGTGCTTAGTTTTGACAGGATTTCTAAAAGCAATTCGTGCTTTCCTTTGCTTTTCATTTGATTCTTGCACCATTTACTTGTTGACATTTTTTGTGTTTAGCTGTAGGCCTTGATTTCCAGCACCGTTAAAAAGTAAGACCATAATATCCAATAGGCTGAAGTAGTGTGAGCCTTCTATCTTTAAGTTTCCAGTGTCATTTACTTAAATATACCATGTTCTTCACCTTTTGGGGAATAATGTACATGGTATAACTATAATATGAGTAAATTCTCAGGAAGTAAAAGACTATATTGTTCTATATACATGCTTTCCATAATTCACAACACGTTGCAAGCTACAAAGTGGGAATGAATGACAACAGAGTAGTCTAAAGTCGAATAATCTCGAGGTAACAGCTTAGTAAAGAAGTCACAACACGAACCATCGTGACCATTGCTCCGTACTCCTTGTGTTAACTTTGTGTAGAAAGGGAGAAGAGAAATTAAATAGAGATTGACTGCAGCAAATTGACTTCAGAATTAATATTCAATACCTACCAGTCTTCTTAATTTGTTTATGGTATCAGCTACTTGTGTCTTGATTACCTACCTGTACTGGTCTTTTGAACTGTAGTAGGTCGATATCACAACAGTTTTTTTTGTTGCAGGATGAAAATGTAAGTCCATAGCAAGTTGTAGTCGTGGAAGATAACATGGAGCTTCCATTTTCATTCCATTGTTAGTCTGATATGAGCTATGTTGCAATGTTTTTTCGAAGTCAATATTGCAAAAATTCTGTTTCGATATGTATTTTGCTGGACTGTTTTTGCTATGCTTCGCATGGAATGTTTCATCTTTAGATTGTTACTTGCAAAAAAAATAAAAAGTTGAAAACTGTTAGTTTGGTTGGCTACCGAAACTGTTAGATTGTTCATTTGCTTATGTTTTTATGTTTGAGTTAGTTCAAAATAAGAAAAGCACACAACTCTCAATTTGCCTGAATGCATATGCTTAAAAGTTTGGTTTTGATGATTTAGATTTGTTACTAAACTTTGACTTCTTCATTTGTGTGAACTTGTTTCTATCTACCGGAAACTTTGTGCTTTATGCATTATTCATGGACTATACCCATTCTTATAATGGTAAACCAACCCTTGAAGGGTATTAACTTTATTTATCCTCTTTTGTAGGTGGAGTAATTGAAGAAAGGGAAGATGGAGATATTGAAGATCTAGACCTTACTTAAGAAGAACTTTGAATTGTTGTCGATGTTCTCGGAGTCTTTTGTTATTAACATTTGAAACTTTAACTTTTGAAGTGTTGAACCGTAAAACTTATGTGATTGGGTTAAAACATTTTGCTATTATGGTTATTATTAGCTTATTGGAGCGTATAGATTATGAAGTGTTTTATCTTTTTATTTATATAATTTCCAGGTTATTACAAATATTTACATATGTAAATGTCATTTACAACCGGGGCAATAATGTCAATTAAACTGTTACAATAGCCTAATAGAACAATTGCAATAAGCACAATTTCCGTTACCATAGACAATCTAAATTGTTCCAATAGGTCTTGTAAATCGTTCCAAAAAGTGCGACAACCGATGCAAATGGAAATTATAACCTGTAAATAAATGCTGCAATAGCTTACACAACCGTTGCAATAAATTATATGGTAACGGTTTCCAACTGTTGTAGTAAATAATATGGTAACAGTTTACAACCATTGCATTAAACTCTATGGTAAAGGTTTTAAACTGCTGCAGTTGAAAAGAATATTTGTTGCTTTAGACAGAGGAAAAACCGTTGTTATAGCTGGCCCTATAGCAACGGTGTAGTCAACCGTCGCAAGAACCGTTGCTCTAGATCTATTGGCACGCGAGCAGATGTAACGGTCGCTAAACCGTTCCAATACATCTATGGCAACGGTTTACCTATCATTCGCAATGGTTTTCCCGCCGTTGCAATAGGCCCATTTTACAGTAGTGTAACCATATAGGTTTTGTAGTAAACCGTTTGTCCTTTTTTAACCCTACAATGCTAAGATGGGTTTTCTTATTTTACATTTATTCCATCTAAAATAATATAGTTTTATTTGATTTTATGTGATACTTTTTTTTAGTCAGTTGAAAACTGCTATTTTTATATTTAATAATAATTTAATTTTAAAATGCTCAGTGTACATGTATACGGTCAAAATCATGCTTGCCCGATTTTGTATAGTTAATCGAGATCGTAGTGGCAGACCGTGGTTCAATCCCAAGTTATATTGGATCGTTACATGAATAAATATTACCTAGCCCGTGATTCAGGGATCGATCGAGATCGAAACCAGCTAAGGTCGAGACCGAGAAGGATAGAGATCTAGCGATATCGAAGGAAGCCTGCTAGGTCGAATAACAGAAAGTCGAGAAATCCGTGACCGGACGAGGATTGTGGCGGAGATCTCGGCATATATCAAGTTAAGACCGGTTGATTAGCCAATCAGAAGATTTTCTTTGTATTTAGAATTGTACCATATGTAAAACTCATCTACTATATAAAGTGGGTTCCAATCATTTTGTAGGGGGACATACATGCATAACAAAGAAATATATTACGTTTTCTCTCTTAAGCTCTCTTATTCAGTTGTTCAGTTCTTGCTTTTCAATAATATACTCAGTTGGATCGAAGGCGACCTAGCTCGAGGGACAAAGTTGCGCGTTACATTGGTTTGCTTCATTTTACAGTTAATTTCTAACTTCAATTCTTACATTTCTCAGTTTGTGCCAAGTGAAATCACATATCCTTAAAACTATTTACAAATTTAATTATTATCCGATTTTAAGGGTAAACAGTTTGGCGCCCACCGTGGGGCTAAGGATAATAGTGATTGCCTGGTGCTAATTTTCATAACACACACTGCTTTACACTTGTTCTCGTAAGCGTTTTTGATTCCAGGATCAGGATGTCGAACTCTCAAGCAGTACCTGCACACATCGACAATGGTCTTGGTTTTCATGGCGAAAACGACAACGTAGCCGCCCCAGAAAACGAAGTGCCTCTAGTTGATCTCGAGGGAGTACCAGTTGCAGACCCCATCGACGTCAGTTCCCATGTTGCCCTGAATGCAAATCTGGGCGTCGACCCTGAAAATAACATCCACAGAGACGTTCGATCAGCCGGTCAGAACGCACAGAGCGGCGAAGAAGGCGGAATCAGCCTTCGAATAATATTCGAAATACTGCAGGCTCAACAAGTTGCAATAGCACAACTTCAAAATCAGAACCACGCACCGAGTAGGGTCGAACCCGAGCCATCACAGGAAATTATTCACAGGGCCGAACCAGTGCCGGAGAGGTCAAATGTGAATGAGTCAGGGACTGACCCCGCTATGTTGAAGATGTTCGAGGAGCTGACAAAGCGAATTGAATCGGGAGAGAGGAAGATTGAAGCGAATGACAAAGAAATGGAAACATATAACTCCCGAGTTGATCAAATTCCGAGGGCACCACCGATTTTGAAGGGTTTGGATTCGAAGAAGTTCGTACAAAAGCCCTTCCCCCCGAGTGAAGCTCCTAAGCCTATTCCGAAGAAATTTCGCATGCCAAAAATTCCCAAGTATAATGGAACTACCGACCCCAACGAGCATGTCACTTCTTACACATGCGCAATAAAGGGGAACGATCTAGAGGATGATGAGATTGAGTCCGTACTGCTGAAGAAATTCAGAGAAACTTTATCAAAGGGGGCGATGATATGGTACCATAATTTGCCACCTAACTCCATTATTTCTTTTTCCATGCTCGCAGATTCCTTCGTCAAAGCACACGCCGGAGCGATAAAGGTCGAGACTAAAAAGTTGGACCTCTTCAAAGTAAAACAGAAAGACAACGGGATGCTCAAAGAGTTAGTATCTCGGTTCCAAATGGAGCGTATGGATCTGCCCCCGGTCGCCGACGATTGGGCCGTTCAGGCTTTCACTCAAGGCCTAAACGTACGAAGTTCGGTAGCCTCACAACAGTTAAAGCAGAACTTGATCGAATATCTAGCTGTAACCTGGGCCGATGTGCACAATTGGTACCAGTCAAAGATTAGGGTCGAGGATGACCAGTTGGGGGCTCCTTCCGGGTCCGTTTATCCAAACAGGACCATCGACAGAGTTAAAAGGGATATTGACCAGGAACCACGGTCAAACAGAGATCGATATCAGCCATACGGTAGAGATCGGAGAAACAACCGACCTGGACGCAACCCCGTTCGAATTGATAGAAGAAATGATCGAGGACATAGCTCTCAAGGGCTCATGAATAAGAGCAGTTTCGACAGAAATGTCGAACCCAAAGAAGCACCATGACTATTAGAATACAACTTCAACATTGATGCATCAGCTATTGTATCGGCCATTGGGCGCATCAAAGACACTAGGTGGCCCCGACATTTGCAGACTGATCCGGCCCAGAGAAATCCTAATCAAATGTGCAAATATCATGGCACCCATGGTCATAGAAAAGAAGATTGCAGACAGCTGAGGGAGGAGGTAGCCCGTTTGTTCAACGAAGGGCATCTTCGAGAATTCTTAAGCGATCGGGCTAAAAACCACTTCAAGAATAGAGATTCAAATAGACAGAATGAGCAAGAAGAGTCACAACACGTGAATCACATAATTGTTGGAGGGGTCGATATTCTTTAGGGGCCCGTATTCAAACTCACCAAGGTTTCGATCACGAGGGAAAAATGGACTCAAAACTACGTACCAGAAGGGACCTTGTCTTTCAATGACGAGGATGTAGAGGGGATCTTATAACCCTACAACGACGCACTGGTAATATCTATCCTTATGAATAAAATTCAAGTTAAACATGTTTTGATTGTTCCAGGTAGCTCGGCCAACATTATTCGATCGAGGCTCGTAGAACAGCTAGGCCTACAAGATCAAATTGTGCCCGCAACCCGAGTACTTAACGTCTTCAACATGGCAAGCGAAACCACCAAAGGTGAAATTACTTTGCCAGTGAATGTGGCCGGGACCATCCAAGAAACAAAGTTCCATGTGATCGAGGGTGACATGAGGTACGATGCCCTGCTTGGAAGGCCGTGGTTCCATAACATGAGGGCAGTACCCTCGACCCTTCACCAAGTTCTAAAGTTCCCGACATCGGAGGGAGTCAAAATAGTGTACGAGGAACAACCTGCCACCAATAAGATATTTGCAGTCAATGAAGTGATATCGGTATCGGCGCTCTCATCAATGAAGGGATCGGATTCGAAGGGAAAGCAGGAGGCCAAATAACGACCACAGACACCGACCTCGACCCAATTACAGAAGCAAGGGATCGATGAGGATGACGACTACTGGATCCCTCAATCCTTCATAATTCCCGATGACTCCGACGCCACCAAATCGACGGTCGAAGAGCTGGAACAAGTCACACTAGCCAAGCATCAGCCCGAACGAAAGGTATACCTGGGCATGGGGCTAAACCAAAGCTCAGGATAAAACTTATTCATTTCCTTAAAGCTAACATGGATTTCTTTGCTTGGTCCCACCTCGATATGACAGGGATCCCACCAGGAATTACCACTCACAAACTGAGCCTGGACCCTAAATTCCGCCCGGTAAAGCAAAAAAAGAAGGCCCCAGTTCGAGGTCAAACATGCCTTCATCAAGGACGAGGTAACCAAACTTCTCAAAATAGGATCCATTCGAGAAGTAAAGTATCCCGAATGGTTAGCAAACATTGTGGTAGTCCCTAAGAAGGGAAATAAACTTAGAATGTGTGTAGATTATAAAGAGCTGAATAAAGCATTCCCCAAGGATTCTTTTCCTTTGCCTAATATCGATCGTATGATCGATGCCACGGCCAGACACGAGACTCTCAGTTTTCTCAATGCCTACTCCGGGTACAACCAGATACAGATGAACCTGGAGGATCAGGAAAAGACCTCATTTATCACTAAGTATGGTACCTACTATTATAATGTAATGCCATTCGATCTAAAAAATGCTGGTACAACTTATCAACGCCTAGTAAACCGAATTTTGAAGAACAAATAGGAAAATCAATGGAAGTTTATATTGATGACATTTTAGTTAAGTCCCTGCGAGCAGAGGACCATTTAAAGCATTTGCAGGAGAGTTTCGATATACTGAGGAAGTACAATATGAAGCTCAACTCCGAAAAGTGTGCATTCGGGGTTGGCTCGGGCAAGTTTCTTGGTTTCATGGTGTCCAATCGGGGAATCTAGATCAACCCCGATAAAATCAAAGATATCGAGGATACCACGGTAGTGGATAATATAAAGGCCGTGCAGAGGCCGACGGGGTGAATAGCCGCCCCAGGATGATTCATTTCGAGATCCTCAGATAGGAGACACCGATTCTTCTTGATGCTTAAGAAGAAGAGCAATTTTGCATGGACCTCGGAATGCCAGCAGGC